AGCTGCAGCCTGAGTGTCCTGTCTACACAACAGGTCATCATCCTCCACCCTCTCTCAAGCACCCCCTCAACTCTCTCGGGACCCAGTCTGGATAACTCCTTGCATGATATGTCTGTGTCTGTATTCTGGTACATATGTGTGCAAGCGTGTGCTCACCTATGTGGAGGCCAGCAGACAACCTCAGGTGTTACTACTCAGGACACATTACACCTTGGATTTCTTAGCTTGTTTTGGATTTTTTTTTTTTTTGAGCGACTGAGGACCTGGAACTGGATATATAGACTAGGGTAGGCTCAAACTCACTGAGATCCACTCGTGTTTGCCTCTGACTCTGACTCTGTCTCCCCAAAGCTGGAATTAAAGACATGGACCACCATGTCTAGAACCCTTTAAATTTTAACTTTTAAAATTACACTTATTCATTCTGCGGGTGAAGGACACACTTGTGCTATAGCCTAGGCAGCAGCCAGGTTCTAACACTGCAGTCTGACACTCCCTATGGTCACATGTGCACAAAAGCCCCATGTGTGCACACCACAGACGCAGGCTGCTCTTCCACAGAAAGTGCCCGTCCTCTGTGAAAGTGTCATGGCTGCAGGGCCCTGTCACTGCTGTAGGGGAAACATGGTTCTCACTGCAGGAGACTGATTACAGCATCCTGGACAGAAACCATCCCTCAGCAGGGTCCCTGACTGAGTCCAGGACTGGAGACTGAACCGAGCACATGACTTGGGATTCGGGGGCCAGCAGGTGTCAGAAGTGAGGTTGAACCCCTATAGAGCCCACCAGAACCCGTAACATATAGGCATCCTCCTGAATATTAACCTTCATCAGGCGATGAAAGGAGACAGAGACAGAGACCCACATTGGAGCACCGGACTGAAATCTCAATGTCCAAATCAGGAGCAGAAGGAGAGAGAGCACGAACAAGGAACTCAGGACCGCGAGGGGGGCACCCACACACTGAGACAATGGGGATGTTCTATTGGGAACTCACCAAGGCCAGCTGGCCTGGGTCTGAAAAACCCTGGGTTAAAACCGGTCTCGCTGAACATAGCGGACAATGAGGACTACTGAGACCTCAAGAACAATGGCAGTGGGTTTTTGATCCTACTGTACCTATTGGCTTTGTGGGAGCCTAGGCAGCTTGGATGCTCACCTTACTAGACCTGGATGAAGGTGGGTGGTCCTTGGACTTCCCACAGGGCAGGGAACCCTGATTGCTCTTTGGGCTGATGAGGGAGGAGGACTTGATTGGGGAGAGGGAGAAGGAAATGGGAGGTGGCGGTAGGGAAGAGACAGAAATCGTTAATAAAAAAAAAATGCCGACTAAGCCAGGCATCGGTGGCACATACATCTAATCCCAGCACTAGGGAAGCAGAGACAGGTGAATCTCTGTGAATTCGAAGGCAGCCTGGTGTGCAGAGCAAATTCCAAGACAGGCACCAAAGCTACAGAGAAACCCTGTCTCAAAAACAAACAAACAAAAATGCTGTCATCCAGGAGCTGACATAGGTCAGGCCTAATGAGGGCAACTCCTGCTAGAGAGTCTGCAATTGGGTGACTTTTACCCACAGACCCCAGACAGGAGGGCAACACCAGATGAAGCTGGAAGTGAAGCTTGGATGCTGCATCTGCACAGACATCTGGAGCCCTAGAATCCTGGACCAACAGGAGAAGGACTAGACCACGTATTTCTGTAAACACAACAGAAGGCTTGTAGACTTGGTGGTCAATTGATGGGACCAAACTGCCCATCACCCATGGTGAGCCACCCCGGTTCTGGTTTGAGGCCTCTGACTTCCCTGTTCCCTTGATGTCACCTCAGGCTCCCAACTCCCCTCTCCACTTCCCCGTTGTCACCTCTCCACACAGGCCCAAAGGCTCTTCAGAACAATGTCCCCATTTTCATGATGTAGCTGCTCTGTCTTCTGATCCTTGCGTCTCCTCAGTAGCAGAAATAACTGCAGTCCCATGCACTGGGAGCACTGAGCCCCGGCCTGGGCACTGTGTGGCTGTTACCCGTGCGTCTTTCACAAGGTCCTGCAGGAGCTGGGGACTCTGTGCTTCGCTGTTGCTCACAACCTTGCTCTGGCCGTGTTTACTCAGGATGAGGACTCGGTAGGCAGGTGCTGGATGATCAGCTGTGAGAGGTGCCTTGCATGACAGTGTATATGTGTGTAAGAGAGTGTGTGTGTGCACATGTGTACGCATGCATGCACACGCATGAAAGTTTATGCTCATGCATGTGGAGACGAGAGAGCAACACTCGGCTTTACTACTCCAGACACCGTGTACCTGGACATTTTGTGTTGTTAGTTGGTTTTACTTGTTTGTTTGTTTTGTTTTTGTTCGTTCCTTTCTTGTTTTTTTTTTTTTTTTAAATCATCTGGTTTTGGTTGTTCTGTTGTGTTTTCGTTTGATTTTTTGAGACAAGGTTTCATTACGCAATCCTGGCTGGAACTCAATACACAACCAGGCTAGATTCACGCTAACAGATGTTCAATTGCCTCTGCCTCCCATATGCTAGAAAGAAGGCATGTGCCACCAAGGCCACCTTAATTTTTAAATTATATTTACATATTTATTGTAGGAAGAAGGGCACACTCACTTTGCAGCCCGAGTAGCGGCCAGGTTCTAACACTGCAGTCTGACACTCCCCATGGTCACATGTATGTAAAAGCCGCATGTGTGCACCCCACAGCCCAGGCTGCTCTTCCACAGAAAGTGCCCCTCCTCTGTGAAATCATCATGGCTGCAGGGCCCTGTCACTGTTCTTGAGGGGAAAATGGTTCTCACTGCAGGAGACTGATTCCAGCATCCTGGACAGAAGACATCCCACACAGGGTCCCTTTGGAAATCTACTGAGTCCAGGACTTGAAACAAGAGAGCCCGGGACTTGGGATTGAGGAGCCAGCAGGCGGCAGCAGTGAGGCAGAAGACAAGGGGAAGCTGGGCTCCTGAAGAACCAATCAGAGCCTGCTGTATAAAAATGCTGGAGACCAGCAGCTGACATAATGCAGCCTCATGGGGCCCAGCCCCTCCTTGAGAGACTTAGCCATCAAGTGACCTTCACCTACACACCCTAGACTGGAAAACAAGATCAGACGAACTGGACGTGAGCACTCATGACCAAGAGGGCCCCCTCTCAGACCCGCTAAGGCTAAGGATAATGCTCAGCTGGTGAGGGCTTACCTGCCTGGCATGCACAGAATCACAGGTTCTATCTCCAACAGAGGACAAAGGGGCATGATGGGGCACCCCTGTCACCCAGAACATGGGAGGGCAGAGAGGAGGAGCTGTAGGAGTTCAAATCATCCTTGGTTACATAACAAGTTCAAGGCTCAGCCTGGGCTGCATGAGACCCCATCCAATGGGGGGTAGGGGGCTTTCTGACAGGTACAATAGGCCCAGTCCCCTCTCCTGACTGATGGTTCATTTGGGGCTAAATCATCCGAAAGGTTCTGTGCTCTGCATGTCCAAGGACTGGATGGATGGACACAGAATGCGTCCATGTGCAGCTGGCAGTGAGGCCATGAGAATGAGGTCGATGACCATGAGAGCTCAGGTCAAGGGATCAGAGGACCATGGGGACTGTGAGGAAGGCAGAGAAAGCAGACATGACAGAGAGCGGCTGCGTAAGTCACCTCAGAGGTGATGGAGAAGGCAGTCAATGCCAGGAGATCTAAGGGAATGGGAAGTCACCTCTGTCCATGTCACTCAGGGAGAATGATGTCACTTCCTCTAATACAATCATTCCTTCCTGCCCTTCAAGGAGCTGAGAGCATCTTGCATGGGGAAGGATGGGATGACCTCCTACAGAACCAGCCCTTTGACCACCACAGCCACTGCCCCCACCTCTCACGACTGCTCTAATCATGGACCAGCTGTGTCCAGTCTCAGAGATGTCCCAGGCGATGTCATGAGGGAAATATTGCTGCTCTGAGCCTTCTCTTCCCACTGCATCCAGAGAGGCTCTAGAACAGAGAGAGCTAGAAGGCATCACTCAAGTGTTCTGTGGGAACAGCCTCCCTGGAGCCCAGCAGCAGATCCGTGTTCTGTGAGCGGAGTTCAGAGACTGCACCGAGCAGGCAGCCGGAAGTCAGTGTGGAGTGGAGGAATACAAGAACTCGATGGGACTGAAGTCCAGTCACCTGCCATGTGGCAGTCATGTGACATGTACCAGGCTTCTCTGACCCTTGGTTTCCTCCTCTGAGTGTATGTGAAGGGTAACAGGAGGCCAAAAGTCTCCTTCAGAAACTGGAGTAGCTCTGGAGTTACTGTCGAGGTGAGGCAGACAAGTCTATAACTTTTCCGGAAGCACAGGACTATTCCAGACTCGGTGGCAGCGAGAAGCCAGGGTGAGAGTGTCCACTGGGCCTTAGTTTTCCAGGGTTGCTGTGAGGAGTCCCTGACAGGCAGCAAAAGTGCAAAGAGCAGACTACGGTGGGGGCACCAAGCTAGGGCAGGGAACTGAATGTGTTTCCTCATCACCTCCTGCCTCACTGTGTCTGGTGAGCAGAAAATGATCAATCCCTCAACAGTGATTATGAGAGAGAGAGAGAGAGAGAGAGAGAGAGAGAGAGAGAGAGAGAGAGAGAGAGAGAGAG